GCGGCGGGCGGGGCAGCAGCCTGGGGCAGGCAGCTACAGAACTGGTCGGTGATTTAGGTAGTTTCCTGTTGTTGGGATCCACCTTTCTCTCGACAGCACGACACTGCCTTCATTACTTCAGTTGAAAGCGTCTCCAGGTACCAGCCGGGGTAGCCAGGCGGGCCATCAAGGCCCTAATCGTGCCAGGCCTGCGGTGGCAACCATGGATCCCCAATACAGGAGGAGCTTCGGGTCCTCAGCGCTGTGCCATCCAGCCCGCCTCACGCTTCCCGCCCCGCACCAGGCCCGGGGCAGGTATGGTCAGGTTAGGGGCTGATTCTGGGACGCCGGGGGCGTGGTAAGAATTCTGGGCCCCGGGCCATTCAAGGTCAGGGGCGCTCGCTTGCAGCCTGAGCTTTCCCTACTGTAGACCTGCGCCTGTCTGGGGCTCTGCCATTCTCTAGCAAGGCTGGGCTGGAACCCTGACTCACCACTGTACTCCTGCCTTGAGCCCCAGGCACCGGCCAGGGCTGCTTACCCTTCGCTCTGCAAGCGCGCCTCTGTTCCCCAGTCGCCGCTGTATCTTTTACGTATTTTCCATCCTCTTTCCTTCCTTCTTTCTTATCCTTTTCTTTTTCCTTTTCGTTGCTTCTTTATTTCTTTTTCTTCCATCTTCCTTTTTCCCGTCCAATTCTCTATCTCTCCGTTTCCTCTTTTTTTTTTTTTTGAATCTTTTTGCTATCCAATTCTCTATCTCTCCGTTTCCTTTCTAAATCGTTCTTTCGGAGGGAAGAGGGATGGCTTGGAGAATGCTTGGAGCTTTCATTTTTCCCTCGGTGCACAGGTTTAAGTGTGCCGAGGAAGAGGTGCATAAGAGAGGCTGTTCAGGTCCGTGGTTTTTGGCCTGGTGGGCCTCTGCGCAGACAAGGCCTCGGTTACGATCACGACCGGATGGCGGCGGCCTTGCGTTAGCCGCTGCTGCCTGAGAGATCCGCTGAGGGGGCGTCTTTGTGTACCCACACCGAGGGCAGGGAAGCCCTCGCCAGTTCCACTGGTTCAGCCTAGGAGTCTGGCTGCCGAGAGAGCTCCAGCAGGAAGCTTCAGGCCGGCTGTGCCAGCTTTACCGGTCCTAACTCGGGCTTTGACCATGATGAAGGAGCCTCGCTGGGGACAAGGCTTGACTGTGTTAGCTGGCTTGCCAGCGGTAGCAGGTCCAGAAAATGTTAGCCTCGCGTCCCTCCTCCCCTCTGTGCAGTTTGGTGTTTGAGAAAGGGGACTTTCCCAGCTCCGATATATTTTAAATGAGCGAAAATAATGCCAAATTCAAGAACTAAGCGGGCACAAACTTGAGTATTGGTTTTAAATTGTAATCTATGAAAGCCACCCTAACCACTCTCAACACAGAAAATTTGAAACAAACGATCCTCTCCCACTACAACACTGCACTGAGACCACAGAACTCTTGTTTTCCATCCCAGCTCAGTCTGGGAATTGCTTTCATTGCTCAGGACAACAACCTGTTATCTGAAAGACCAGTACACCCGGTTCTCTCCAACTCCTCTCTGCCATTTTCTGGATCAGAGTATTGGATTTATATTCAGAGGCCAAGGTTTTGGGAAGATTCTCAGTTGAGAGTGCGATGGGTTGTATTATGCCCATTTATTGTTTCTAGATGTGCATACAACCCTTTTCACGTCCAAAAGAAACCAGGAATAAAAAGCTGAATACTCCAGTATCCAGTTTCTGGGCTCACAAGAACAATATCTGCTTTCGGGAATTTTCCCCCCTTCTGCCCAACAGTAAAGAGCTCAATGCCTACTATTTATTTTGTAATTCTTCTGATTGGAGACCAGTGTTTTTAAAACTATTTTAATTAATAATAATAATAATAATAATAATAAAGTTTTTAAAAAGTGAAAAGGGCAGTCAAGCATGCTCTGCCACGTACAGACAATTACTATTAAGAGCAGAGTTTACTCCAGGGTTATTGCTTAAATGAAAATCTGAACCTCTGAGGACTGCCGGATATTTAGAACACCTTGGACTGTGCTGGGGTGTGGGGGTAGGATTGACTTGGAGGAATTTGCAGGGAAAGGAAAATATTAGGGGGAGGGGACTGAGGCAGTTGGGACCAGCCACATCCAGTTCCTGGCGCTGGCCACTTTCTTCTTCCTGCTGACAAGCAAAGAAGGGGTTTGTTTTCCTGGAGTTTCAGAGTCTTCCTCCACAATAGAGCCTGATACTGTGGGGATTCCTGTCTTCTGGGATAGGAATGTGTTAATGTTAGAAGGTGTTTGCTATTAGAAGGTTTGAACTATTTGTGAGAAAGAAGGCAAAAAAGAAAGATGGGAGTGTCTGGGGCCAGCAGTTGTGCTGATAGTGAAGTAATGAGAAACATGCTCTTGGAAGGCGCAGAATTCACACGTGAATTTAATTACAGTTTCTAGGAGTTGTTACTTTGTGTTCTGAATTGGGATGGGGGTCACACACACACCCACACACACACACACACACACACACACACACACACCACAATTAACAATAGTGTCTGTGGCCTTTTTACTTTCTGTCATCCCCCAAGATTCTAAGGGGTAAAAAATACCATTTTCCATTTGGCCAAGGGATATGATTAAAGTCAATGTCCCCTGCTCCTCCTGGGTTAATCTATAGCACTGGACTTGAGCTGTAGTCGCCTAGTTTTGGGGGTCTCTTTTGCTCTGTTTGGGGGATAACCAAGCAGGGGTGCTGGCGGTTTAGGAAGGAAGGGAAATGGGGGAAAGAGGACTGGAAGGAAGGGATGTGGGATGGAAGAGAAAGAGAGGAGAGGAGGGGAGGGGAGGACCCCAGAACGGCTCACACTGGGCCCTCGGAGGGCCACCATACAAGCTGGTGCCTCTTTTAGGCTAGGTTGCCCTTTAGCAGGACAAACTCTCCTGGTGCAGATATTTTTTTCCCCAGCTCGAACCTGGGGAGAGGGCTTACAAATGATGGAGCTGAGAACAGGGTCGCTGGCTGAGGAATCGAATTCGCTGAACCGCCTGTGCTCAAAGTCGTGGGCCAGAGCCCAGGCGATGTTTGTGACACAATTAGGTCCTCAAACCCTTGAGGGCAGCTGGAAGTTCCCTCCTTGGTGGTTCCACCGTGGAGCCTTCCATTGTGGAGCAAGGACTATGTGGGTGCTGTGCGGGCGCCTGGCTGGCTTTATAGTCTATCCAGGCTCGGTAGCCCACTCTAGGTGGTTGTACCATCGATGGATGGTGTGTCAGCAGGGGAGGTAGCCACGCTGTTTGAGGTGGAAAGAGCCTTGTATTTGACTTTTTCAAGGCAGGCCTGGGGGCAAACTTGCATCTCTGAAGACCGAAAGGATTATTTACAGGGTGCTCACCAACCAAACACAACAGTCTAATTTAACCTTTCCAAGTCCTCATAAATTTTTACAGGGAGCTGCAGCGAGGCAAACGAATCCTTTGGTTGTTCCTGACTTCCCACCAGCCGGTGTGGCTTCCGAAACAATAACTCCTTATGAAATATCATAAATATAGATTTAAATACAGTAGAGTGAGAATGCGATTTGGCTGCTTTTTTATGGCTTCAATTATTGTCTAATTTTATGTGAGGGGCTCTGCTGGCCGCACTCGCACGCGGGACCCGCGCCTTCCTGATGGCGTGATTAATTGTGATATAAAATAGTCCGCTTAAGATGTGTGTGGGTCTGGTGTGTGTGTGTGTGTGTAGAGGGGGTGGCAAGGAAGAGTACGGAGGCAAGGCCAGATTTGATCTTTTAATCTTCGTTGGCCACAATTAAAACAAACCAGATCGTGGAGCGGCGCGATCCCTTTGCATAAAAACATATGGCTTTTGCTATAAAAATTATGACTGCAAAACACCGGGCCATTAATAGCGTGCGGAGTGATTTACGCGTTATTGTTCTGCTGGGCGGACACGTGACGCGCGTGGCCAATGGGGGCGCAGGCGCCGGCAACTTATTAGGTGACTGTACTTCACCCCCCCCCCTGGTGCCACCAAGTTGTTACATGAAATCTGCAGTTTCATAATTTCGGCGGGTCGGGTTGGGCCGGCCAGGCGCGGGCTACTGCGATGGCCACCACCGGGGCCCTGGGCAACTACTATGTGGACTCCTTCCTGCTGGGCACCGATGCTGCTGACGAGCTGGGCGCTGGACGCTATGCGCCAGGGGCCCTGGGCCAACCCCCAAGGCAGGCAGCAGCGCTGGCCGAACACCCCGACTTTAGCCCTTGCAGCTTCCAGTCCAAGACGGCGGTGTTCGGTGCCTCGTGGAACCCGGTGCACGCGGCGGGCGCCAATGCGGTGCCGGCGGCCGTGTATCACCACCACCACCACCCCTACGTGCACCCCCAGGCGCCCGTGGCGGCGGCAGCGCCGGACGGCAGGTACATGCGCTCCTGGCTGGAGCCCACGCCCGGTGCGCTCTCCTTCGCGGGCTTGCCCTCCAGCCGGCCTTATGGCATTAAACCTGAACCGCTGTCGGCCAGAAGGGGTGACTGTCCCACGCTTGACACTCACACTTTGTCCCTGACTGACTATGCTTGTGGTTCTCCTCCAGTTGATAGAGAAAAGCAACCCAGCGAAGGCGCCTTCTCCGAAAACAATGCCGAGAATGAGAGCGGCGGAGACAAGCCCCCCATCGACCCCAGTAAGTGTCTCCTTCCTGCAAGCCGGCCGCTGCCTCCACGCCGGCTACCAGGATCTACCAGGATCTATATCCACTTTCTCTCGAGCCTGCCTTCGTCCTCGATGGGAGCCTCTGGATCTGGGGTCGAGAACTAGAAATTGGTGTTTGGAACACCTCAGATAGGGGCCCCAAGTCCAGAGAAGTGTGTGGAGCAGGCCGGGCCGGCTGGGGGAAGGGGAGGAGAACGGTGCAGCAAGAGGGGGCGGGGCGGGCGCAGCGAATAGAGCCGAGACCCGCCGCCCCTCTCCTAAACTATCCAGGCCCAAGACAGACAGACTTTGGGCGGTTCTTCGAAAGCAGTGCAGAGAAGTCTTTTGTGCGGCTAGATTGTTGACGAACTGCGGCAGCTAAGTCAGCTGGGCAACCTGACCCGGGACGCTTGGGGAGACCTCCGATTCCCTCTACTTCTTGCTTTCGGCCGGTGGCTGCATAAATCCTGCCCAAGATGAGGCTGAGGGCTGTGGAACCACTAGGGCCCCTTTGCCAGATTTATTCAAATAAAGTGGAGACGTGATCAAAGGCCTTGGGGCACCCTGCCTCCCGCCTGGCTCCCACGGCCTTCCCTTCCCGGGAAGGTCAAATAGAGTGGGGACAGTTGCAGAGAAGCCGGGGAAGGGGAGACAGCGATGAGAGAGAATTCTTGTTACTCTTGTCACACCGATACAGGGCAGCTTGCTCTTTGCTTTGCTGGCAAAAAGAATATGGCTTCTAAATTTCACTCTTTCACAATGTGCAGACCGTAGAAGGAAGCAGAGCAGGGGACCGGAGAAAGGAGGGTGGAGATGAGAGGGGAGCTGTAAGTGACCCTCCGAGGGTCTGTCTGCCAGGGCTTCATAGTGTTTTCTCTAACAAATTCAGCGGCGTCCTGCAGTTCGGCCAGAGACCCCCAAGAGGCACCTTCACACCCATCCAGGACGCTTCTCCTTCTAAACCCAGTGTCTCTCTCCCCCGCAGATAATCCGGCTGCCAACTGGCTTCATGCTCGCTCCACGCGGAAGAAGCGCTGCCCCTATACAAAACATCAGACGCTGGAACTGGAGAAAGAGTTTCTGTTCAACATGTACCTCACACGGGACCGCAGGTACGAGGTGGCCCGGCTGCTCAACCTCACCGAGAGGCAGGTCAAGATCTGGTTCCAGAACCGCAGGATGAAAATGAAGAAGATCAACAAGGACCGAGCAAAAGACGAGTGAGCCGCCGCCGGTCAGGGCTCATTTAGAAAAGAGCAAGCTAAAAAGAAAAAGAAAGGACTGTCTGTCCCCTTCTCCCTCCTCTCCCCCAACCCCAGCCTCCACTCCCCGCCCAAAGAGGCTCTAAACCCCGGGCCTCATCTCCGCCTGGCATTCCCTGCTCAGGCTGGCTCCTAGGCCTGCGGCTTTATTGGAGGAGGTATTGTAAGCTTTCCATTTTCTATAAGACACCCACACAAGGGAGGGCATTAGCGCTGATGGCTGTATGTGCTTGCTTGTATATATATTTAAAAAAAAATCTACCTGCTTCTGACTTAAAGCAAAAGGGAAAAAAACTACCTTTTTATATACAATGCACAACTGTTGATGGGCTGTATAGTTTTTAGTCTCTGTAGTTAATTTAATTTGCTCTTCGTGTGGCAGATCACTCTGCTAAAATACTTGAACACTGTGTTTTATTGTGGTAATTATGTTTTGTGACTCAAACTTCTGTGCTGGGTGAGGCACCCATTGTGATTGTGGAAGCTAGAATTCAATTTGAACTCAGGTTGTTTATGGGGGGGGGTGGGAGAGGCGGTTGCATAGAGTATAGCTCTGTAGTGAAAAACTGTGTAACTAGACTGTCAACCTAACATTGTAAACTAGCTGTAAGGATTTCCCCGTGAAATCACATGTGGAAAGAAAAGGGAGGTAGTTCTCCAAGATGCATAGATTCATGATTTCTCTACTTTTGAAATGTGGGCGTCTTCATCTTTCCATGTTCTAGGCTCCAGTCTTGTCCAGTGTATATAGCATCTCCATATTAAAGAAATACTCATAATCAAACAAGCTTGAATATTGTTTTTGCACCAGAGAACAAGGAAGGAAATTCGGAGCTATACATATGTGCAGAGGGTTACTACCTATGGTTTATGCTTAATTTTAATTGGGAGAAAATGAGTGCTTATTGTAATGGAGTTAATTTTATTGATAATAAATTATATACCATGAAACCGCCATTGGGCTACTGTAGATTTGTATCCTTGATGAATTTGGGGTTTCCATCTGACTGAACATACACTGTATATTTTGCAATAGTTACCTCAAGGCCTACTGACCAAATTGTGTGTTGAGATATTTAACTTTTGCCAAATAAAATATATTGATTCTTTTACTTTGTGCGGGTCTGCTCTTTGCACCTTCTTTTTCTGGGTGTATTTTCTGGGTGGGGGCTGGCCTGAAATGAAGGGGAAAGCGGCCTAATTCTGTCTTCAGCAAGGTGCTGGAGCCGGCATCTGTGGAAAACAGTCGGGTCAGGCCTAATCACTCGCGGACTCAGACTCAGCCGGTTGCCGGTCGGTAGGAGCAGGGGCAGGAAGCTGAGGAGACTCCGGCACAGCCAGTCACTCAGGCCTTGTGTCTGAGCTCCGGGATAGAAGCACTGGGCATGGGTGGCCAGCAGCCTTAGGAAAGCCATTTTTCCATCTTGGTGCCTCAAAAAAATTTCCCAAACCTGGACCCACAAAAAGGGCTGAGGCCTTTGGAAGTAGAGTGGTCTAATTGAGGGGTGCAGGACCAGAAGCTGAGGGCCTGTGGCCCGCGAAGGAGGCTGAGGAGACAAATAGGAGCCAGATGTGAACAATGAAGTAGTTCTTTCAAATATTTAGGGTTTTTCAGGAGATGGAAAAGCTTCACTCTCGTGCCCCACTGGGTCCTGCCAACCAGCCCGGGTGGGTTGGGGGGGGGCAACATCCTACACTGCTAAGCCACCTCCGGAGCTTAAGTCCCCACAGAAGCAGGCCTTAGCAACCGACAAGCCCCGAAGCGCCATAAAAGAAAATGAGGGCTGTTACCCTTTATGGGGTGTAAAGGGCTGCGTTGGGGGACCGGCTACAACTTTGGAGGCTCAAGCGCCTTCCAGATGAAGCCATGGGATTCTGCTTTGCTCTCCTCCCCAGCTCCTTTTCTTCACCCTCCCCCTGAAATGTTGACGGTCTTCCAACGAGGAAAAAGGGAACCAGGACATGGGTGGATGGGGCGCCCCCACCCCCAATGCGCCGCCAGGTTGGCACGCCCTCTGTTGTTGCAGACAGAAAGAACTTCAAAGCCTGGGCAGTAAGGGTGTGCCATAAAGGAAGGTCTGCTGTCTGGAATTCGGCTCTTAATGAGTTTACAACTGTCCAGCTCCAATTAGGGTATCCCACCAAAACCCTTTCATTTGTTTGCTCTGTCTGCCGCCGATAAAGAGACTGCGGAAACAGCCCTCTTTTATGGGCATTGCCCCTTCTGCAGAGTAGATTCCCGGCTCCCTGAGGATCCCCGGGGACAGGGCCCTTGCTCCGCCCATGGGAGTGGGACGCTGGTCGGGTCACCGGTATTGCCGAAGTTCACGCGGGCCAGAGCAGCTGCTGCTGCAGTGCGAAGAAAAATCCAGGAGATGGCAGTGTGGCTCCACGCAAGAGGTACTCCCGCCGCCATCTCCCGCGGCCGCGACCTAGGAAGCTCCTAAAATGTCGACTTGAAGCTCGCCTTTCTGGAATGGGATCTGCGGGAACAGCAGTCGTATATTTTCCCTGCTGCTCATGCCAACCTGAAAGCCTCCCGGGGACACAAGCATGCGCCAGGGCTTGCCTGACCGTTGGCGCTCCCTCCTCCCAGACCCCATTCCGAGACCGCTGTGATGCGTGGCAGCAGCGGGGTGGTGCGGATGGTGCGGGGCTGCGGCTCAGAGAGCTGGTTCTATTCCAGGGTCACAGTACTCATCACAGCAGTGATCTAGGTGCAGCGAGGCGCGCGGGGACGGTCATTCACGACAGAACGACAAGGGGACGAACACCTACAGCCCTAGGACCAGATGACCCCACAAAGAACGCAGCTGGTGGCCACAGGTCCCGCCGACCCTCGAGGCCCCAAAACCTGCGACCTGTTTTAGGGACCGGTACCGGACCTAGAGAGCCAGCACCAGAGAGAGAGAGAAGGCCCAGACGTCAGGACTCGGCCGGTTTGAATGCCTGAATTTAAAATTAGGCGGCTGAAAATTGGTTAGTTATAAAATCTTACTTGGTGGCTGTCTAGTGTAGATCTGCTGCGAATTTGGCTGCGCTGGGGTAACTCAGGGCATAGACTAGAAACTGTTAGGTTATTCAAAAAACATACGATATGTTTAAATAAGTAGAATAGCACCCTAACTCCAGGATTGGTGTTCACACAGTTGAAGTCACTCTTGCTTCTCTGGCAGAGGTATTTCTTTGACATTGAAATGCCAAGGCTTCTCTGGCGTAGCCGGCTGTGGAGGCCAGAAGCTACTGGGATGTGGAGGCCCATCCACTCCCAGCCTACTTTTGATGCTAGAGGGGGAACATACCCCTAAGCAAACGCGGCCAGGGTGTAGGGTGGTTTCGGAAAGAAAACACAGGAGCAAACACAGAACCAATCCTTCGAAGCGCCGTGAATAAAGGCTGTGCTGTGCATTTATTTGGGTCGTAATAGTCTCAGCCAAGCCCACAAAATGTTTATGACTCGCATCTCCGTGCTCAACACGCTGTAAAACTAGGGACTCGATTTTGGCTGACATCTCTCCTGGGTCTCCATCTCTCTCTCTCTCTCTCTCCCTCCTACTCCCTTAAAAAATCTTCCTATATATATACACGTGGGCATTATAGACACATATCATCATTATATTTTCGTATGTAACACACGCTACTTCACAGCCTCTGCTTGTAGGAAGGGTTTTATAGCTTCCTGGAGAAGTCACCCGTGCTCGCCTATCCTAATCCTCAGAAATCACTCTTTATGTAACTGTACATAATCAGAGAAATCGCTGACCAGTGGACACAAATAGAAAGCTCCATGTTTCTAACAATGGAAGATACAGGTTGGCGGCACCCCTTTTCTGCACCGATCACAGAGGCCCCAGGTAGGTGCAGGCCTCCAGGGGCTCAGAGGCCTGGTGAACTGCCTAGGCCGTCAGCATCCCTTGCCCTTGGCCGAGTGACGGCCTGCTGGCAGGCTGCTATTTGGTTTTCGTTGCTTGAGAGGCTTCGCTCAGGCAAGACCTGGCAAGAAACCGAGCTCATTTATTCGCTCCGGGGAGGAAGCTCGAAGTCTCTCACCAGGTGGGGACAAAAGCTAAAATCAGCAGCCTCTGCGGGGAAGGAGATTAGAAACATTTAAAGACCCCAAACTCGGGACCATTGGACTCCCAAGAAGGCGCCATTCGCTGCCAAGGGCTGAGTTAACAGTCTAAATCTAGATTTAAATATTGAAGACTATTTGGCAACAGAAAGCATAGGGAACAAACTCTGACTGGAGGTTTGGAAGCTAACTCTGGGAGAGCGTTGAGAAATATTTAGATAGTTCTGCAGATTAAAAACTGGTTTATAAGGCGTCTTCTCCTGGGCCTGGGTTAAATAGTATGTGAATCTTATGCATAATAGATACATTTCTGTCAAATAAGTAGGGAACCATTGGTCAAAGAACACATAATTAAATAGGCCTTATTGAGAGTCCGATTTTGTTCAGACTTTTGTGTTGTGAAGTCTAGCCAGGGAATAGAGACCCAGAAACGAAGGGAAAGGTTTTCGGTGACCTCGGGGACCCTGCTCAGATGGAAGACTTGGGCCCAGAAGTGCCAAGGCCTGGAAAGCGGCAGAATTTGGACCTTATTTGGCAAACGGGGACAGAGACTCTTGCCGGGACGCCTTGGTCGTGCCAGGACCAAATCCAGAAGACCTACTTAGGCGTGTGAGTGTGATTTTTCCTGTGCTACCTCAAATCCGCACTCTGGTTGTCAGGTCTCCTTCTAAAGGAAAATTCCACTTTAAACATAGTCGCTTCGGACTGCTCCAGTCGCCTGAGTCTAGACAGACCGCCGCGGCCTGCCTAGTCTTTCACTTTGCGCCTTGCTCGGTGTCACTCCAGGAACAATTTATTGGTCGAAAGCCGCCTAATTTCGCCTCTTTGATCTCCTAGCCTTCTTTTTGTTTGCTTCGTCTTCCTTTCGCTTTTCTAGAATTTTACTTCTCTGTTAGAAGACGCTGTTATTTGGGGTTTCCCCCCTTCCTGTTTTCCCCCCTCTGTTTCCCATCCTGATCCACCATAAAGGGGATCCCGGATATTGCCGCCCCAGGGTCCCTGTGCTCTGGGGGGAGATAACCCAACTCCCACCTGCCCTTCTCTCCACCAAAGCCCTGGCCCTTTGCTAGGTAGGCGCTGGGGCTCCGTTGCAGCGGGATTTGAACCATCCTTCCTCTTTTGTGCTCCCAAGACCCCCTGAGAAGATGCGGTGAACGGGGGTGGGGGCAGCCTGGACCCACTGAAAGTGATAAGAAAGTGCTTTGTACACCAGGAACCAAACTCTATAATTTAGGGGAGAATTTCCGGGGCAATTCCATTGTGAAGCCAGGTTTATGGTGTGCAATCGAGTTGAGCAGTAAAAGGTGGCCAGTCTTCCAGCACGGCCTGGGCAGTTTATGAGGCGTTTAGGGAAAGGGCTCACCCAAATATCCTCCAGAGAACGTTGAGTAGCAAGGCCTTCATCCGACTTATCACTGCGTGGGGGTCTGAAGCCACGCAAGGCAGGCCCCCGGAGTGAGTGACTATTTGGGGGAGAGAAGGAATGAAACTGTGTTTGTGAACCAGTGCTTAAGTGAAGCTGCGAGACCTGGGTGACCTTTGTGGGGATTCTCTTATTTGCTTTTAGAGTCTTCTAAAAAACTGGGGTTCTATGGTGGGCTAAAGCCTCAGTCCCCGATACTGCCCTCTTTTCTCTCTAAATCAACTCCATGGTTCTACTGTTCTCTGGCCCATAAGGTGGAGGTCCAGGGGTAGCTTGGCTGAGAGCTGCCAGAAGCCTGTGTTTAGAAAATTGTGGACCCGAACTTCCAAGCTGTCGGAGGATGACCCAGTTCTCAACCCCCCAGCCCCCTCCGGGGATCCAGGGGTAGTACCAGGGGTTGTGGGAAGGACAAAGGGGGTGTTGAGCCACCAGATGAGTTGCTGCGGGCCAGCCAGGTGCCTGGGAGTGAATGCAGGGAGACTGCATTCGCTCCTGTGCGGGAGGAGGAAAGGGAATCCCACGTTAATAAATCTGTTGGCAAATGAGGCTCATTAATAGATAAATATTTCACTGCTTCCTTTAGGGCGGATAAACAGTGCTCCGCCGATTAAGCTGGGAGACATTGACTTTATTCGAACCACATGGTTCCAGTTTTGTGGCAGCATTCTGGCTGCTCAGCCCGCCGCGCCTGCGGAGTTTGCACTGGAGCATCAAATCTGGCCTCAAACGTTCTCCTGCTTAGAGTGAGAGGTGGGCAAAGAGATCTTTCTCTCAAGACTGTCTTTGGGCCGACAGGTTGCAGAGACCCTGCAGGGGCTTGAGTCTGCAGAGTGGACAGGGCCAGGGCAATCCACACACTGGATCTGGGGTTCAGAAATAGGTGTGAGGTTGTGGGGG